CAGTTTTCCCGAAAAAAAAAACAGAATAATTTAAGAAATATTTCGAAACTTTTTCTTTCATTGATTGTATTTTGTCAACAGTATCATCATTAGCATATTTAGCGCCATAAAAGAGGCCAAATGCAACTCAATGGCAAGAAAAATCTATCAAAAATATCATTGGCAAGAAAAACATAGCCAATCGAAGATTGGAAAAGAGTAATAAACGCAAGTAAACATTAAAAAAACATTTAAAAAAACATAAAACTTTATTGAAAAAGTCGCAACTTTCGAATTTCAAAGAAAAAATAGATTTTTTTAAGCTCTTTAAATTTCTAGAACAATTTATGCTTGACGCTTTTTTGATAACATTAACCCAACTTGAGAAAACTGGATCAACAGGTAAAGTTTTTATTCCGCTGGAAATCTAAAAACTGAATTCCACTTTCGAAACTAGAAGTCGTTCACGAATTTTCGCGCCATTTACATGTTCGTATTTGGAGAGTGCTATTTACGTCACTTTCAGCAGATGAATTTCAATTGAACTCAAAAAGTACGTCATACTTAAGTGCATCAATATTTTAAGACTTTTTCCTGAAAAAAAAAATCAGCAAGACCTATAAAAGAGTCTTCACCACGTTCATTACTTTTATAAAAACTTTTTTTTTCTAGATCTTTCTGTGAAGAACAATGCTATTTTGAGAGATTGTACAGACTTGTGCAATGCTTGATTAGTGCTTTTCCTTGAAAATATAGTCCGTAGCATCAGTTAGCGCATTTGCCTTCATGGTGGCGACCTTGCCATATCCCCCAGTATGCCGGATGGAGACATCCGAAACGAAAACCCGTCTTCCTCTTCAATACTGGTCGCCAAAATCTTTCCCGCACTGCTTTTTATGCAGATCTGGCAGACTAGCCTTAAAATTTTTGTAAACATGCCACAATACACTTATTTTGAGGGGAATGCAAGTCCAAAAAACGCTATTTTTTATGGTCAGAATTAGGCAAAAAAATCTTATCGACAAACTTGAAATGACTGACATAAGAAAAATCAGCGCTGGTCATGCCTGGCTGCTTGAGATTCTTTTCCTTATTTTGTTTTGGGCTCATAATTAGAAGATAAAAATTCCTTGAAATGTTTTGAATTAGTGAAAACAAAAATTAGCACCAATAATTTTTTTTGCATGGAAATAAAAACAATTGATAAAACTCAGATCTTTGGAATAGCTACGACACCATTAATTTAATAAATATCAAATCAATAGAGATAAAATACCTAATTCTTCATTTGCGATCTTTCAAATAACTGTACATAAAATGAAATGATCTTCGAGCGTACGACCATTTTTTTCACGACTACGTGAACATCCCTGTTTTCACATTCTATTTTTATTTCGCCCTAAATTTTGAGCTTCGAGCCAAGCTCGAAATAAAACTATGTAGAACAAAACTGTTAAACTGTTGCTTGGAATTGTGGAAGGGGTGAAATTAATGCTATCTCCCCTTTCGATCAAAACATGTTCGGAGTCATCGCCCTTCTGTAGTTTTCCGACATAATAGGCGACACTGGCGTAAACTGTTGGCTGTCCATCTCCGCAGGGAGACTGTGCCGACCCATAGCTGGTTATTCCATAGACACATTTGGCTGATTTTTGATCCTCGTTCATAACCAACAACGGACCGCCTGAGTCGCCTGTAAAAAAAATTCGAGTATTTAACTACGAAAGGAAAGGGGGTTACAAATATAGCGTATGCTTAATCGTAATTGGAAATTGTCTTTGATACGTGTGTATATTGTTCATAAAATACCAAGAAGGGCCGTGCGCAGAAGTTTTCTAATGAGGGCGGTTTTTCGAAAAAATTTTAAAAGTTGATCGACATTTTTATTGGGCCGACCAATTGCATTTTCCGAGCTCTCCAAAAATACTATATGGACCGTTTTTCTCCAAAAATTTCTGTCCCTTAGGCAAATTTATGCAAAACAAACAGGCTAAAAATGACGTTTTGAGCCTTTTTTTAAAAAAAAAACTGACCAAAACATTGTTTTTTTTTTCGGCGAGGGGGCCAAGGGAACATTTTTAAAAAATCCAACTTTGAGAGCAAACAGAATATTCCAGCTCCTCAGTTTATATTTAAAGAGAAATGTTCTTGAAAGTTGAAAGTTGTTCAGCAATTCATCAATTCTTGGGTAGCAGATTTAAAAAAAAATCAAAACTCAACTAACATAATCAGCAGCCAGTGTGAAAAGAGTCGTGAACGCAAGAAAACGGAAAAAATACTGCTTTTTGAAAAAACTTCAACTTTCGAATTTGAAAAATGCGCGTTTTTTGGCGCATTATCCCTGTATAAAAGTAACATTAGCGCCCAAAACGGCTTCACAAATATTGCCCTAAACGATTTTCTAACTACATCAAAAAAACTGAGATTCAAACTTAAGGAAACACTGTTGTTTTTTTTTCTGCAAAAAATAAACAATAATATGGAGTTTCAAAGCTATAGCAAAAACCTGAGCAGTTCAGGGTCCACTTTTCAGGAACCACGGACTGTACTGTTCAATGAATTTCAGAGCCCCCCCCCCCCCCCCCCCCCCAAAAAAAAAAAAAAAAAAAAACTTTCAGCTAAACACACGTATATAATGTAATACTTATGCAGACACGGCACACTGATTTGATTTTCAACCTGGAACAACTGATTCAACGTGGAAACGTTTGTTTGCTGAATTTTTGCAAATTTTAAATTACATAATACTTTTTACCTTACAATTTTACGACGATAATCAAGCGCATATCTAGGAGTTTCAAAAGTTCGTTTTCCAAATTAATGCTCTCAATGCAACAAATTCTGTGTCGCACTTGTTGCAAAAAATTCTCTGTCGCACATGTTGCAAAATGTTCTGTCGCACTTGTTTGACCGTTAGTTTTTGGAAGGTTTTTGACTTTTCTCAAAAACTACCCTTCAAAAAATGAGACTTTGGGTTCAATCGAATTTACAGGTTGCGTGAACCCCTTCTGCATAAGCGGCTACGCCCTATTTTTTGTTAAGCAAAAAGTTATGATTCCCGGAAATGTCCAACTTTTGATTTGTTGAGGTTCTGAAAGCTCGCACCACCATGCAGTTGAAGCTAGTTAAAGAGATACGACTCACCCGGACAAGTGTCTCTGCCTCCCCCGTCCTGGGTGCAAATGAGACTTCCTAGGGGAGTCTTGGACCCAAATGTCCTCTTGCAGTGCCCTTCTGTTATCTCTGTCTGGGCCACTTTCTAAACAAATTTTGGCAAACCCTTTTATGTGTTGTTCTTCTGCAAGAAGGAGAATTCCGGTAATCGATTGGTCGAAAAGCCCAATATAGCTTTCATGTTATTTTTAGCAAAAACTGTATTCGAAATTTTAGTTTGCAATAATACATGCAAATAATATAGTCTATTGGACAAATATTTGTTTCTCATTCCAGTTGGAGCTCTTTCTAAATATTAGTTACCGAGTGACATGTTCTTAACTTGATAGTAGATGCATAATTCTAGCACCTTTAAAAGAGTAAATTTCTGGTTAAGATAGTCATTAGTGAAACTTGCCTGCAATTTTTTAGGGTTGCTATCCTTAACCGAGTTAATCTTTCCCAGACCTATTGCCACCAGTTTGTGCTTCTTGTTTTGCTCTTCCATCGGACATGTTGCTAACTCCTGTCTGCTCTTATCGAATTTGATTGGATGTGCCAGTTCCAAAATGACTACATCGAAGCCCTCTAGCGGCTCACCTTGGTAGCTGCCAAAACGTCTGTAGTTCTTCAGCTGATGAGTTTGACTTGTACGTTTTTCGTCACTTTTGCTCAGCGTGAAATCTCCTGTGAAACACTATACTTTTAAAAGGTATATTACAGGTTAAAGTGTCTTAATTGAAGCTCACGGTTAGTCATTTTGCCGTGAGTGGAAGGAACAAACATAGCCAACTGACAGTTGGAGAAGAGCAATGAACGCTAGGAAAAAGAAAAAAAAACTGACTTGTTTTTTTGAAAAACTCTAATTTTCGAATCTTAAAGGAAAAACCCATGCCCTTAAAGCTCTTTGAATTTGAAACTCCGAGAATTGTCCTTTGTTCAACAAAAATAATGAACAAAATAATGACCGCCGCAGTCGCGCCAACGTGTTGCGAGCTTGCCAACAGAGGGTAGGACTTAATACGAAATTTAGAGCCGGTTATCACCGCGAAGCGCGGTTTTTTTCCCTCCATTACATGATTTTTCGGACTATTTTGTATTGGACTGGTTTATATGGGACTGTTTTGAATATGCACCAATTTTTCAATACCAGGCATTTCTGGCTGACTGGTTTTATCTATCAGCGCATTATGGACAAATTATACTGAATTTGAGAGGTGGCAAAACAGATTTAATTGTTATCAAAGTCTCTCAATAATGCTTCGAACTTGATTTTTGCTTGCGGAAATTTTGCAAAAATTATGAGCGTCTTTTAGGCAAGGAAAAAATTACGACAAAATTTTTAAGAAAATATAGTGGAAGAGTACGGTCCCTTTCTCGGCTTGAACTATACCATGATTGAAATTTGACCCTAAAGAGATGTGTTCTGACCTGTTCTGAGTGTGATCTCATCTGCACTGGTCCACCTGGAGTTTTCTTCGTCGTACACACAATGTGCAGCAGTCAGCACCTCACCCTCACTGATAATAGTACCCCCACAAACCCTATGGTAAACTACATTATAATACATTTCACAAGATCAAAAAATTATAGTTTTTTTCAAAATCATTGTTAACAATCAAGCTCTATCAATTTTTTATAGCTTATTGAGATTCTCTAAACGAAGCGGAGAAAAACAATAAGAACATTGCAAGCTAACTAGTAAATTCTTTTAAGTTTATTTATAAAGTACATGTATCAGTACTAAAAATCAGTACTTGTAGGCGATATTCTCACATCGAAATTTAAAATGTTTGTTTTTTGGATATGAACTCGCCTGGAAGAAAGGAAGACTCTAGCATAGTATGGAAACTCATTTTGTTTGGCATTTAAGCCCCCTGAAACACATAAATTACCCGTTTTTTTTTAAATTTAGGGCTTTCGCAACCATAACAAGGATTATTGTAGCTGATCAAACTAGTTGAAGAAAAAAGTTGAAGGAAAATAGAAAGGAAAAAACTCAAAGATTAAAATTATCTTTTTTCTTTTTAATGAGTGGGGATCGAATAATAATAAAAACATATGTAACACAAAAAAATTGAATGTGATCAAATAAACTATCATTTTAAAGCCCTCTCAGCCGTAATTGTGTTTCAACAGAATCTTTGAAAAATTGTATTGAAAACAGTGTCCAGGTTTTTCAATTTTTCTGATCAATGAGCACGGTCTTTTTTATTTTCAAATCCCGGTCTTTTTTATTTGAATTTATCGCAATTAGAGAAAACTGCTGAAAATGGTTGTTTGGTGATATATTATAATATGTGGTAATTTAAAGTTAAATAGCTGAATGGCTTTTTGTTATAATTTGTACAGTATTTAGAATTTATTTCAAAACCCAATTTTTTTGGCAAAATAAGTGCAAAATTTGAGTTTTGAACAGCCTTTCATTTGGCAGAGTACTGTAATTGGTACTACTATGATAGAGTGGTCCCTCGAAAAAGCAACTACGATAGACAGGTTCCGCATGTATTTCGCATGCTATAATTTTAAAACTAATTTGTGTATAAATTATTCATTATTCAATCGCGCGAAATATAGTGATTCAAAAACTTTTTTTCATAAAAAGTGTAATCACTACAGTGTTTATATCACAAAATATGCACGCTTCAACTAAATTTACGGTTGAAAAACCATATTTGGATTAATTTATTTGTCTTCAAAACTCAATTTTGACGTTTTTTTTTTATTTTCTACCTTGAAATGATGAAGGTGGGGAGATTTTACAAAGTATAACATAAAATTTGTTTCAAAATATAATCCGAAATCTTTCTGAATGGTGAAATCAGAAATGTCAAACGATTTAAGAGCTAAGAGCTCTAGGTGTCTAATTCTCAAGGGACCTTGTTGTTTTCAAGGGACCACTCATCATAGTAGTACCCTGTAAGTACAAAAAACTATCTTAGCCGCATGTACAAATGATTGAAAATGAAGTGACTAACTATATAATGCATTATAGTTCTCAATTTTAATACATGCACTATAAATAAAATAAAATTATCACCTATTGTAATATATCACCGGTTGTTTTTCTCATTTCCCTCAAAACTTTGAATTTCAAATCCGATTTGGATAAATGAAAAACATTTAACTCAAAAACGCAAAATAATTCCAACTGATCACTTCTGAGAATCAATGATGATAAATTAAAAAATTTTCACCTTAAAACAATCAAAAATTCCAAAACACTCCAAAATCGAGTTTTAGTTTTCTGATTTGCCAAAGGCGAGGTAGTTTGCAGAAGTTGCATGCAACTCGCGCAAAACTTCGAAAAATTTTCAATCTTTCTGGTGGTGTTTTTGAGTTTTCCGAATTTTCAAAAACACCACATATCATTGCTTGAGTCTCCAGAAGTTTAATAAACAAAATCAATAAAAAATATTCTACTTCGAGTTTTAAAATGAGATTTGAGGAGGAAAACGATTTATTCAGGATTTTTCCAGAACTGTGAGAAATATCTCAGTGTTTTCCAAAATTTTGTTATGCTCTCTTCAAGTCAACCACAACTACTAAAATAACAGAATCACCAAGTTGGTGGCGCCACTAGATAGAAAGATTAAGGGAAGAACGCGCAAAAACAAATGCCAACTCCGCCTGTTAACTTTCAAAGTTGCCAGCGCGCAAATAATTTGGGAAAATGGGATCTTAAAAAGCGCTTTGGTGGGAGCATGGTAAGTCAATTTGGTCAATCAATATTTTTTGTAATGTTTTCGAAAAATTTGTTTTCGGGGTTAATTTAAAAAACAGTTGAAAAAATTTGTAAAAAATCTTTCAGTAACAAATGGTAACAAGACTGCTCGTATCAGGGCGAAGCCCTGAATATTCCGTCTGCCTTTTAAGGTTTATGGAGCAGCGATAACAAAAAAAATTTTATGTAATAAAATAAAAATAAAAATTCAAATTTGAAAATTTTTATGAAAATCATCCCCCCACACGCCATATGAAGTACAAAAGGATAGATTTCGCTCCTTGTTACAAATCAATTATGGCAAGTAAGCTGCTCTCAACCAATTTGGAACGAGTTTTAATACGGATTAAATCTCCGTTTACACGTTAATAGAACGAAATATATCGTATATCGCGCGTTAATTGTCCCAAATTGGCCAAAATGGCAATATTTAAACCCCCATAACTTTACAAAAAACAATCACAGGTTAAATATCTTTTCTAATTTAAGCTCAGATCAACGATACTTTTTGAAAATTCCGTCAAAAATGGCTAGTTAAAAGTCGAAATTTGTCTGAAGAAAAAAAAACTCTCCCGAGCACAAATATTCCGTTACTTTCGTATCGAAAGTCGGAACAACTAGAATGAGACGAAGGAAAGGTTTCATACGCTGTTTCAAACAAGCTGTAAAGCCTTCACTGTCCGTTCAATTTCGGTGCTAGTTGGTAAAGGTAGTTTACTATATTTTCCTTGTAACAACCCGTCCTTGAGTACAATGTACTATTATTATTAAGGCTTAATCTTATTGCGGGGCTTTTAATATGCTTTTTTGTTCAAAATTTGTTCAGAACTTTGCTTGTGTTGAACAATTTTTGGACCGAATTAACATCCTCACCCAAAGCACTTTAGGGGAAGGATATTAACTTGGTTCTAAGTTGAAATTTTTCAGCCAATCAATTGATCATTGAACAGGCAGACAGTACTTGTAATTTGAATTGTGGGGAAGAGGGTTTAACGTGATATCAAATGCTTTCCGTATCATAGTAAAGTATAAGTTAAACCTAATCTAAAAATTGTGCAGTAAGTCACTTGAGATAATAAAAATTGTAAATAACATTTCGCAACCAACTTACCTGTGATTCTGTCGCCTGATGAAACGAATCGCATACTTCCATTTGTGACCCGATCTGATGACTCATAGTAATCAACACTGGCGTATTCTGATGACGAAGATTCTTCACGCTGCAACTGTTTAGACGAGCACAGGTGAGCCAGCTGAATCAAAGGTAACTAAGGACTTATCTTATTTTCTGAAAGAAAATCAGTGATAAATTTGACTACCCCAACCTAAAGTGCTGCTCTAGCAAATAATTTGATAATGCAAGCTTTTCATCTG